ACCAAGTGACCTTCGAATTTTCGTACTTATAGCACTCTTCCCGCTTCCTAATGCTCCGTCAATCTCGTTCGCCGCTGCCATCGCTCTTCGAAGCGTTTGTAGGGTTTCGCCTGTCGTGGATTGCTTCTTCCTTGCGTCTGTCGAGCTTTGACTTCAGTAGAAGTCTGCACAAGGAAGTTATCTTCTTTCAAAAAATACCGGCACATTAACCGGAATGCCCTTTTGATGCACGTTTGGCTTTTTTAATTCTGCATGCACGCATCACGTGCGTTTTTTACTCGACCAAAACTGAAATCCCAGCTGCAAGATTCATAGAATGGAGGGTCCAAAATGATTCTTTTTTCTCTCCTGGGAGTGTATTCTCACATGAACCCTTCCCTATATACTAGTAAACTCACCCGTGCGATGCACGGTTTGAGAATTTTTCTTTCAAATTAATGTGTGCTTAGTAATTCAAGTCACACTAACATTTGATGACAACATCTATCTTCACGTAATACTGATATACATCAAAACATTAAACGAAACACACTTATAATATTATGATCTCCATCCATGTTGTGAACATAATGACTTAACTGAACATTCCCGAACCACTGAATCCAGAGGCTAATCATCGCGAAAGACAACATTGTGTTCTTCCGGCAAATGGAAGCTCAAAGGTTCAACTACCGGGGTCTTATATTGAATTTCAAACCCAAATATGCGCCAAGAAGCCTCGCACGCAGAAATGTATCTACAGTCATAGTACATTTGCATCTCATTGACTGATCGTGCATCACACGGTTAACATTTGAAATTGTTAATAGGAATGCTTAGGAATCAACACATTTTAGCTCTCACTAACTTATGTCAAAATCATTTCTTTTAGTAAAATGTTTTGCTAGTAATTCACCTTGCAATGCGCAAATGATTTTGCCCTTTTTTAATTCATTTTCAAAGGTTTATATGAATTAATTGAAGGTAAATTATTTATAATGACTAAGTAATAAGATGACTATAAATTTACACGAATTGCATTTTTTAGACGAATTGTCTCTCTAAATAGGTAAAATAAGGGAGTAAAATATGTGAAAGTGTGTTATGTCATTCTTGAATTATACTTGAAATTCTACTATTTCTAATATTCAAGTATGGTCTAGTCTGGTTTGTTTAAGTTTGGTTTGGTCTGAGACTGAAATAAGTGTAAGTATAAACACCTCAAAGGTGACTGCATTTATATATACGAATTGCATTTTTTACACGAATTGCCCGGGTAAATTGGCAAATCAGGGGGGGTGCAAATGTGTGAAAGTGTGTTACGGCATTATTAAACAACACTCAAATATGAATTTCTGAGAAAATGTTAGTGTAGCTCGTATATGAAAAGTAATGCTATCATTTAATTAAGCACAATAACTCTCCAAACATATTCAACAGGTAGAATCTATATATGTGACAAATTTTTGAATTTTTTCACTATATATATGTTACTATATATGCTCCTTCATATTTTTGTCGTTAGATATTTGTGACTATATTTTTTTAAAATTTTTTGTCGTTTAAAAGGTCAAAAATGTATTGATACTATATATCACCACTAAAAAGGAACCATTTTTATGATTTCATATTTTAACTGATCTAATGTTGTATTTCATGATTTTTTGAATATGACTATAAATAATATTCCCCTTTCCTAATTTAAAGTTCATAGTTTCATACTTGCGTTTTATACATCCCATATTAAGGCGAATATAAAAAGGCACAAACTTAGGTATTTTTGCATATAAGTTTTTGAAATATTTGTTTATGAAAATGTGACCTCTTAAGATTCTTGACTATAGTAGTAACTTTGGTCATATAATTTATGTTCGATTTTAAAATCAGTGACAATGACATTATATGAATAATAATTTTAGTCATTTTTGTAAATTAATTTCATTTCGGTATTTTTTTTTATAAAATATTTTATATTTTTCTAATATGCAGTAGTTTTGACAAATCTTTAATTCTCTCTTTATTGTATTAATACAATATATTTTAAATATAATTTTCTATAATTCAGTAAATTGCAGTCGCTAAATTTATTATTTTATCAATTTTAACAAATTGAACCAATACAATCAATTTCAATATTGCCAAACGGGCTATTCATTTTGATCAAATTGTTCGCCCCATTTTTTTTTGCAAAAGTCCCAATCCCTTCCCACTGCCTTTTTGTTTGTTGCGAAGTCCCTACCCCTTCATTCCTCATTATCTCTCTACACACATTGAACCACACATTATACGCACAGAATTTTCACAGTGCTCACCTCTACAATAGACCAATGAAAACTGTTTTATTTTCATATTATTAGTTGACTCGACTCACCTAATCCCATGAGCAAATATTTCATTTTTATTTATTTTAACAAATAAATAAATGATTCATTGAAATTGAAGTTTTTGAGCGGGATCCCTATTCACCAAAAATCTTTTGCTTTTATATTAGATAGATAGATAAAGAGAGTATTAAGCATGACATCAAAACAAAGTAAACATCCAACAAACTCACCCGTGCGATGCACAGTTTGAGAAATTTTCTTTCAAATTTATGTGTGCTTAGTAGTTCAAATAACACTATCAATTGATGACATCATCTATCTTTATGTAATACTGATATAAATCAAAACATTAAACGAAACACACTTATAATATTATGATCAAAATGAGAGTACTAAGCATTACTTAAAAGATCAAAAACATCCAACAAATACGTTGAAATCATAACATTGTAAATATGCATTTAATGTAAACCTAAACATTATTGAACACTTCTTTGAACACAACATTCTGAGTCTGGTTAGTGGTTCCTTCATCTTCATCAACAATTAGAATTTTCAAACCACAACGATTGGTAACCCTTGATACTGCAATAAGTCTTAGTATAAGCATATCAAGTAATATGGTCATTATGCATTTGTACGAATTGCATTTTTTTAAAAGAATTGCCCAGGTAAATTTGCAAATCAGGGGGGTGCAAATATGTGAAAGTATGTTATGACATTATTAAACAATACTCAAATATGAATTTGTGAGAAAATGTTAGTTAAGTCTATATATGAAAAGTAATGCTATAGTAGTTTCGAAACACATTCAATAGGTATAATCTATAGTAGTTCTTAATTCAAAAAAAGTACAGTTCCAGTGCGATGCTCGGTTGGTGAAATTTAAAGGACGAAGTTTTACTCAAATTAGAATAAAAACCATACACAATAATCAAATTTGATGTAAAATGAAATGTATTTAATACGATTTACAGAGTATCAATAATGATTGTGGAGTAGCACACAAATGTGTATAGTCTAACAAAATAGTAACACTCAATACAAATATAATTTGAACACAAATTACATCCTATGCTTGACTTTATGAAAAACTTATTTATACAGAAAATTCTTGATTTCACATTTCATTCTCATGTCATCGTTTGTGTGCAGTGTCATTTTTTACGTTCAATAGTTGCTTACTCTTGACAAAGCCATGTAAAGATGACCGTGACTAAAAATATTTTTTTTTCAAAAACGAACCAACGCCCGACAACGAAACATGCATAAAACACGCGTGCGATACACCGTGGGCATGTATTTTCAAAGTTAAATAATTTTCATAAATAAATAAATGTTACTTATTTGGCCATCAATATTTTGTAATAGTTAAGGTGGATACAATATATTCAGAGTCCGTTACGTCACCTGTGTTCTGTATTTATCGGCATTACCAATCATTTTCCCCTAAACACGTAACTTTTGATTTTACACGCTAAATTGTGTAATATTCAAAATAAGTAAGGTTGGAGTTATTTTTTTACAGAACTTTCTGAAGTTATCACATAGGACAATTTTAAATATTTTTCATATAATTTTTTCTTTATTTTATTAATTCAATGTATTTGAAATATAATTTTTGCAAAGTTCAACATATTCTGCCGGTAGAGACAGCCAAAATCAGCCACTTAAGTCCAAAACCTAATAAATTTTAATAGGAGCAGTCAATTCAACTATTTTCAGTGTTACCAAACAGGCTCTTGACGTTTTCAATTCAAAGGCGGTAAACTTTCACTAATAGTTTTTATCAATACAGAGCATATTTTTGTAAAAATGATATGTTTTATACTTTTATAAATCTATTTTTAAAAAAGAATATTTACATGTTATTTTAATATTATAAATTATTTTCTATAAAAATATAATCGATCAAAATTTATAATTCATTCAATAAAAGAATTCAAAACCTTATCCCAAAAATAATACAGAGTATACTCCCTATTAAAAATAGATAGCCGGATTGCCGACCACACTTAAATTATAGATTTTTTAAATAGAGATTGTGTAATTTCATATACAAAGTATTATCTGGATGGTTCATCCGACTGTTGCTTACTGTCCCGATTGTTCTATGCCACAAATAATTTATGTCCCCACCATATCTCGCCCATCTCTCTCAACTCTCCTTTTAGTAGAGCACTCGCACGATGCACGACGGTCGACTATTGCTTACTGTCCCGATTGTTCTATGCCACAAATAATTCATGTCCCCACCATATCTCGCCCATCTCTCTCAACTCTCCTTTTAGTAGAGCACTCGTACGATGCACGCCGGTTGATGAATTTGTTTTTCAAATTTGTCTGTGTCAAATTATTCTGACTACACAATCATTTGACGACAACATCTATATTTATGTGCACTATAGAACTATTTAAAACACGAAAACAAAAAGGACTGATAAAAATAATAAACGAAACTTACTTACAATACATGCTTAATTATAAAGAAAGTATTGATCATGAATTCAAAGATCAAAGTTAACAGTTTCTATCTAGAACCCAAAAAAACATTGAAATTCATAGTTTGGGCATTGACCAATAAATGAAACCCAAAGCAATTTTAATGGGCCCTGTCCAGAGCAGCCAAAAATTCTGCGTAAAGCCAATAAACGGGCCGTAGGAAGAGCCCAGAAATCTGTCTAAACCTAATAAAAGGGCGTATATAACTAAACGCTGAAAACGACTCCTCCTTCAAACTCTCCACTTTCTTCGCCGACACAAACCCATTGCACTCCAACGAAAGTCATCGGCGGCTCATCCAAGCAACGGGAAAACGAAGTGGTCCTCACACATCATCGACCTCGATCTTCTCAGCTCGTACCACAGCGTGCAACCACAACCGAACGAACATCGACACAATCCGGCGTCACTCTGCGCTATCACTTACATGGCAACGGTAAGATCTCATTCCCTACAATACACGCAATCACGTTGTCGATTAAATGATTTCTAAAGAATAATCAACCTAAAATGTTTTTTTAACTACAACATACCAACTTTACAGATCTGGAAGTTCCATGGCCATGGCTCGATACCCTTTTCATTCTTCCCCCTTGAATTGTAAGTCAGAGATAAGATCTAAATCCGTCCAACTCACGAACCACATCGTCACTTACACGTTTTTCACGAATAAGCAATCACCAACCGATTTATATGAACCACATCTTCTTAACCCTTCAGATTTGTGTTCCTCCAGATTTGTGTTTATGGTTCAGAATTGGTTTTGATATAAGATTATGTTGATAGTTTTTTTTATATATAAAAGAGTCATTGCCACAACAATAGTACGAATACATAATCATCCACATAAAATGCAGATCATGTTTGATTGATTTGTCGACCTGCATTGAAAAAAAATAAATGAATTCATGTCATAATTACTAAACATTTTCAGCATACAAAAATGTAAATTATGATTTTGTCCTCTTAAGTAATGAGTAATTTTATGGATTGTTTTGATTTTGACACTTGCGAAATTGCAAAACAAAATCAAGTATTTGAGGATGCAGTCTTTGGTTTATGGCATGGATTAAATTATTTAAACCTTCGTTTTATAATTGGTTTTAGATACGGATTTTAATATTTGTTTTTAAATTAAAATAAAACTTAAATTTAGAAAACCCCAATTTTAAAAAACAATATAAATATTTAACTCTTCTTGATTACAACTTTCTTTTGGAATGCAGGTCTATGGATATATTTTCACCCAGTGACCATTGTTTATGAGTTTTGTACCCCTTTGTAATTTAGAATTAATTTCATGTATCTCAATTGTAAGTTTGAGATGTAATAATTTAATCATTAGGATTAGAATTATATTAGATTAGGATAGAATTAGTACTGGAGCGGAGGCATTGATCCCAGGTATGTCTCTTGAAACCACTTTTTTTATCCACCTTAAAATTATAACATTACTCTCTATTTTTTGAAACCATTCTATCATATTCGATGTCTAGCAAAAACTCTATCAATGTCATAAGAACAACATGCCAAGGAATAGGGAGACAAAAACAATCATTATAAAATCTATAGAGTGAAATCTAATGGTATTTTCAATAATCACGAACTTAATTGGATAACAAATTGATCCTAACTTTAAACTCTCTAAGACAATTATAAGAAGACTTATTTTATTTAGTCATGTAAATAAGTAGGTTTATACTACAAAGCAAAGTATATTCTGTAAAGTATATTGAGCCACAAACTGTTTTTGGAGAGAACTGAAATGTTGTCTTCTAACCATTAGAGCTCCATACTATTGAACACTACATACCTAAAACGCATAGATTTAACCCCGACAACTCTATCACCATTTAGTGTTTCTTGATCTTAACACCCTTCATCTTCTTCAATTGCATTGTTGAAAAAAATTCTTCAAAAATATCTCTCTTCACTCTGTCCCCATCAACTTCTAGGGCAATTTTTTTTATCAGCAATGGGCAGGTTGAATTAACTTGTAGGGAAGACCCAACCTAATACATTAATTATATGTTAGTTCATAGACCTACGAACAGTTAGTATTAAAGTTAAAATTAAAATAAACAAAATAAGAACGTATCAACCTTTTCATTGCAAGAAATCTCTCTGATCTTCAGTAAGCTCATCTTCCTCCTTTATAAACATTTACAAAAAGGTTAAAAAAGATCTCATTTAAATAACATTAACCATATTGCAGGAAATTTATTTCTTCTTTTGCTTTTACAGTTTAAAGGGGGGGATGGATGTGAGAAGTGCAATGTTGGAGTATTGCTCTTATAGCTGATCATTGGCATGTTGTTTGCTGGAAATAAGATACACTCAATCTTTTCTACTGTGCTCACCACCCAATTCCACCAATAGAAACAAAGTATTCAAAACAGTGACTCAACATCAGTCACCCACTTTATGTCAACAGTGAGCACCTCCATTTTGGACCAATAGGAATGCACGAAACGTATTACAGCTATGCACACCTCCATTTGGACCAATAAGAATCACTATGCTACAAAACCGCATGTTCAGATCAATTTTTTCTCATTAGATTGTATTTCTTTTTGATTTATTTTGACAGATAAACAAATAAAGTATTGATGTTGATACTTCTAAGCGGGAACACGATTCCCATAAAAACTGTCTCTTTAGATAATAATAGATATCCCCAAATCTCCAATATATATAGCCCAATATTCATTTATAACATCTATTCTATTCTATTCTATTCTATTCTATTCTATTCTATATATAAGAAAGGAGATAGCTCCTTAAAAGACATTTCTATCCCTCTCAAATCCTACGTGCTTGCCTCTCCCGTTTTTACTCACTTCACCTCTTACGGCCACGTGGCCTCCTAATTTTTAAGCGTGATGTTCACGACTTGAAAGGTCGCTGCTTTCAACCCAAAAGAGATAAACCTCCCCCAATGATTGCTTACATTTAGAATTCTCCATCTCTAATCATACGCGATAAAATATAGCGCCCAACTAATCACACTTCAACTGCCCGAGTAGCAGTACAGGTACTTTCTCTAACCTACTTCTTCATTTGTCCAATTCATCATTCTCTGATCTAAGGAATATTACAGAAAAAGAGATGATCATTTTCTAAGCAATTTTAAAATCTGCATGTTGGTTTGAACTGATTGTCCCATTCATTTCGGTGCACTTCTTTACTAAAAAGCTTCTTACACCTGTGGCCTAGAAATAAAGAATTAACAAAAAAAAGTAGGACAAAGAAGAAAGGGACTGCCTATAACAGTGGAGAAGAGGCCTAAAAGAAGTGCATTTTCTCTTCTTAACACCATTTATGCTTTGTTGTTGTTTTTCTATGCTATATGAACTAAGATGGTTTATGATTTTGATTTAAAATTCAGAATGTAGTAAATGAAAGAGAAGGCGGATTAACACCATTTATGCTATGTTGTTGTTTTTCTATGCCATATGAACTAAGATGGTTTATAATTGGGAAATAAAATTCAGAATATAGTAAATGCAAGAGATAGCAGATTACAGAAAAAGATATGATCTTTTTCTAAGCAATTTGTTTGCTTGCTGCCTATTTTGTGTGAACTTATTGTTCCATTTATTTCTTTACTAAAAATCAGATTTTGTCTTGAGCATTTCATATGACTGTTTTGTTTGAGCTAATTGTTTAGTTCATTTCCTTACTAAAAACCTTATTACATTTGTGGCCTAGAAATAAAGAATAACAAAAGAAAATGTAGGACAAAGAAGCAAGGGGCTGCCTATAACAGTGGAGAAGCTACCAAAAAGAAGTGTATTTACTCTTCTTAATACCATTTATGCTTTGTTGTTGTTTTTCTATGCTATATGAATTAAGATGGTTTATGATAATGATTTAAATTCAGAATATAGTAAATGTATGATAAGGCAGATTACAGAAAAAGAGATGATCATTTTCTAAGCAATTTGTTTGCACTAAAAAGCTGCTTTCATCTAGAGCTTTTCTTATGACTATTCTGTTTGAACTAATTCTTTAGTTGGTTTCTTTACTACAAAACTTCTTTCATCTGTGGCCAAGAAATAAAGAATAACAAAAAAAAGTAGGACAAAAAAGCAAGGGGCTGCCTATAGCAGGGGAGAAGAGGCCTAAAAGAAGTACATTTACTATTCTCAACACCATTTATTCTTTGTTCTTAGGACCAAAGAAGTTTTTATATGTTTTTCCTTGCTTATGACTCTCATAAGAGGAGGGACGAACAAAATTACATTGATGACCTGAAAGTACTAAAATGTCTATAAAATATAGACTTAAAACTAAACCAGCCAATCCATATTCGTATTAGATAATATATGAAATTCTTATTTTCCCCAAAATGGAATTCCCTGCTATAGTAACCTTTAAAGACTTAATAGTAATAAACCAAAGCTGGAATAGGCCAAAGCTTTAATAAGAGTAACAACAAACACTACTGGCTCTTTTTCTACTATTTCCTTAATCAAAACTTAAAATTCAGCTGCCATAACTTTAATAAAAAATTCAAATTCAGAACATAGTTTATGCAAAAGAAGAAGAATGCAGAATTTTCTTCATAGATTCTGGCAGATAGAATAGATTTTAAACTGTAGTTCTACAAAAACATAACCAAACTCTATCCACATCGACCCAGCTTTGCAAGCACAGATCCCTGGGTGCCCAAGTAGCAGGAGGTACTCTCCAATTCTTCGTTTCTCTCTTTCTCTATTCTCTATAACAAAAAACTGATTTATAGATCAAAAGGAATTGCAATATATAACTATATAAGAAGAACAATCCATTGAGTAAGTAGATGTATAACAAAAAATGATTTTTTTCCTTAGAGTGGCATAGGTAAACATGTTTTTCCATTCCTTCAAATGTGTCTTTTTCTGTTTTAGACAGTCTGTGTTTTAATCTGCCATTTTCTTTTTTGTTTATCCATGTCAACAAGCCCACTTTTGTACATCTATGTTGAACTATACAATCAAACATTCACTTAAAAGAATAACTTAAACTGATTTTAAGCTCAAAAGGGATTGCAAAGGCATCTTTTTTGTTCTGTTATGTTCATCCTGTTTCCTTTTTGTTCTTTCATTTGATGGTACCATCAAATAATCACAGGGAACATTTTCTTAAAGAAGTGCCTACACTTGCTGAACTATAGGGAATTAGGTGATTGAAACAATAAAAAAAGAGTTAACCAAATGAAATGCAGGGAATGGGTGAGATTTGGCATAGTCCCAAGGGATATTTCTGAATAATTAAGTGAAATAAACTAACTAATTGCATCAAACATTTGTTTAATCCATGTCGATTTTTGTTTTGTTTTATTCTGTTTTTTCCATTTTGTTCTGTCATTTTTTCATCCATGTCAATTTCTATTTTGTTTTATTCTGTCTTTTTCTTTTTCTTTTGTTCATACATGACAACAAGCCCATGAAGCTGTTCATGTGGATGTATGTATAAGAAGAATGGGATTTATGCTCAAAATTAACTGCAATATAAGAAGAAGTAGAATCCATTAAGTAAAAGAGGATCTAAAATGCTAGTGTAGCAGGTAAGGTATACTATATACATAAAAATATCCCTCTATAAATTTGCTCTCAGAATATGAAAGTGGTGTTTTTTAATGTTGATAGTGCTCTTCCTATATGAAAATACGAAGCAGAGAACGGTTGCTGCAAATTTGCTCACCTTTGGACATGTTTTTTATTTACTTGTACTTCCACAAAGTTCTGATGGTGTAGTCACAAACAAAGGCTTCTAATTATTTTGAACTTCTATTGACTACCAAAGAAAACAATAGGCTAACAAAGTTTAAGTTGCTTTGTTGTTGTTTTTCTATGTTATATGAATTAAGATGGTTTATGATTGTGATTTAAATTTCAGAACATGGTAAATGCATGAGAAGGCAGATTACAGAAAAAGAGATGATCATTTTCTAAGCAAGAGTAGTGTCATATTAAAGTATTTTAAAAGCTATCAAATTTGTAGATAAGTCGGCATCGAGTGTTTTTTAATTACTTGCTCAATTCAATTCACGAGGAGTCGAGGACTCGAGGTACTTTTTAATTCTTTGTTTCTCTATATTTCTCAGTTCTTTGTAAATAGAGCTTCTATTCAGCATTCATTTGTGGCAGAGGTAATCTAATATGAATTTGTTATGACATTGATAGGAAAAACATGATAAAACAATTCTACTACTTCAAAATAAGATGATTTTGCTGAGATAGTCAAATGTCAACTCTGATTTCAACCATGTTTATTTCATCCACATCGACCCAACTTTGCGAGCACAGATCCTTGGGTGCCCATGTAGCAGGAGGTACTCTCCAATTCTTTGTTTCTCTCTTTCTCTATTCTCTGTGAATACAGCTCCAGTCTAGCATTCATTGATTGATTGGATGTTTACGAAAAAACTGATTTTTGTTCTTAAAGTGGAATAGGTAAAACTGTTTTCCATTCCTTCAAATGCATCTTTTTTGCTATGTTTTGTACAACCTTTTTTTCTTGCCATTTTATCCATGTCAATTTCTTTTAAAGAAAAGGATAATATATATTGAATGATTGTATGTGACAAAGTAGCCTTACTTTTCACTCCTGTGAAGCACTTTTATCTTTGTCGCTCAAAAGATTCATAATAGGTCTCGAGCCTCTCTCCATCAATCACTTCCATCTTCAATTTAACCACAAGATCGAGAAGGTTTATGATTGTTATAGAAATAACCTCCAAATCAATTTGTTCTTCATATTTAATTAAAGACAGATCGGCCTGAATATTCATGTGCTTTATCAGTTTTAGTTTTGTTTTAGTTTAGGTTATATAGTTTCTCCTAATTCCCTATTCCTTCTTATTTCAAGCTTCCTTATTATTATATTCTTTCAGTAATAAAGTTGAGGTGGAAGTAGGTGTGCTGTGACTTGGCTTCATTCAATTCTAATATGTTCCGTACGGACAAAGCCATTAGAGGCCCTTCCGGGTGGAATTTTTTGATGAAATTTTTTTAGCATGTTCTTCATCAAGTCTAGTTTATCCATACCAAATTTCAGCTCAAAATTCGATCGGGAAGGCAGTCAAATAAATTCTTGAAATAAATGGTGCATTCTGCGCACATATAATGTGCAGTATACTTCAAGAATTTATTTGACTGCCTTCCCGATCGAATTTTGAGCTGAAATTTGGTATGGATAAACTAGACTTGATGAAGAACATGCTAAAAAAATTTCATCAAAAAATTCCACTCGGAAGGGCCTCTAATGGCTTTGTCCGTACAGAGCTTCCTGTACATCCATATGTACAGGAACAGCCCTCTATGTTCCGATACCAAAATCCTAGATTGAAGAAAAAAATGTTTGGTTAAGTTTTTTCTTTTATAATTTGGAACCACAGTTTAGTTTGTTTTTTTTTTCTTTTCAGTTTCTATTTTTCAATTTAAAGCTAAAACTATGTTTAAAATCATGTATATTCAAGTTGCTACTCCTATTCTTTTAAGGAGAGTTATAAATCAAGATTTATAAATCAAGATTTCTTAAATTAGGATAAGCATTAACCACCAAATAAACACTCTACGTATGATGACCATTAACATTGCCTCTAAATTTTGGAAACCGGTTCAAAAGGTGGACTAGGGAAACATATAAAAGAGAGTTTTATTAGCAAAGCTAGCTAGCTCCATGTTAAAATCAATAAAAAGAATAATTAAAATATCAAATTGCATTATAGACGATAAAACAGAAATACTTTAAGAAGATGAAATCTAATCTCACTTAAAATGGCTGTCAGTCCTGCCATAATGCTTATTTTAAGTCTAATACTCCTATATTCATGCTCAATCTACATCATTGAGGTCTATTTTTTTGTAGTTTTATATGAATTCGTTACTAGATTATCAGGACATTCCAAATGCCTACGTTATTCAAAAACATCTATCTTCAATTTTATTTGAATTCATTAATTGCGGTCATTCTATTTCAGTTTGTGTTTTAACCAATGGGCAATGCTCACTGTGGTGCTCACTGTGTTAGTTGTATACTACATTTTATTGCGTACAATTGTATTAGTTATCTTTATATTTATATGTTAAATAGATTTGTTATTTAACCAAATTAGCTAGCTCATTACTCTCGATTTGTTTATGCGATTCATTACCTGATTGTCGTGTAAAATGAAATTACCTGATTGTCGTGTAAAATGAAATCCACAAAAACAGAAACTAGAAATGCAATCTTTTAATAATTTTTTTAAAGGTTTCCAAACACCTTCGTTAGAGTTTTTGAAACGGAGATGTCTTCAATCTCGAGAGTTTTCGTGTTTCATAGGTGTTAATCTTAATAAACTTTGGACAATATTTTTAGTTATTATATTTGTATGAAATTTGTAATTTTTATACTTTTGTGAAAGTGATTTTAATTTTTAACCAATGGCATCTCCAAACAATTTACATATTTAAATGATTTCGTATTACAAACATTACAATCTCCGTGTTACCAAGGGCAAAATTAATCATCATTGACCAAGAAACTAAATAAGCCAAGTTTTATGTGATGGGCATATCATTAGAAATTTGAATGTCGGATTCAATGGTAATTCATTTTGTTATTATTTCCTCACTTTAATTATTTATGATTTACCATCTCCGTGTTTTTAAAATATTACATTACGAACTTTGAGGCACTTTTAATTTTGATCTTTCTTCACTTTTTAGCTTTAAATGTAACTAAAACACATTACTTGAGACAGAACAGGTAATGCATATATTTGAATTAAGAGATGAAAGCTACGTGGAGTGTATCCTATTTGTTGGGGTGCATGTCCTTGCAAAGTGTTTGTTTTTGTTGATTTTTATAATTGGAGAGGAAAACAACTTTAGAGGTGAACAAGATAGAATTCTAGACTTTGGCGGGATGATGGAATCGACGAAAAAAGCAGATCCCAAAACAATGATATCATCGACTCATAAGATTTGAAGGGAGTGACTCAAAATAGATGCCTATGATATTACATCGGAGAGTAGAGCATGGTATGAATATAACTAGATGAAATTTATGCCATTACACTACCTAGAGAGTTTTTTACAAGAATATTACTTAAATAAAATTTATTTACATAAATATGATTATTCATTACTACAACGTAGTGTTGTAGTAACTTAAGTTCAAAACTTGAATATGAATTACTATGATTTCATTACTACTCTAGTAACTAGTCATATTTTTCTAAATCGTCTTTATTTTGATCATATTTATGTAATTATTTCATATATTAATGAACCGAACAAACGAGTTCAACAATTTAGCATAAAAGATAATAATAGTAAATCTTGCTTCTCAAAAGGGAGTGTTACGAATATATATAAAAAAGTATCAGTAAATATGTATTTTCAACTTAAAGATGTTATTAAGAAATTCTTAAATAATTTATGACCACTATTGATATTTATCATTTTAATTCATATCACCGTGACACTACCGAGGCATGCCCCGGATGTTACACTAGTTTAGCATAAAAGATACTCCGTAATAATAGTAAATCTTGCTTCTCAAAAGGGAGTGTTACGAATATATATAATTGTCATAATAGTTACATTTAAGTCTTTAAATATTAGAAATAATGACCAAAAGAAGACTCCTCACTCTCCTCTTGACAAACATAGGACTCAATTTAAAAAGGACATAAAAGTGAGTAAACAAACGTGCACTGCCTTCCCCCAAATCCTGTAAGTGTAACTGGTCGGATCGAGTAACTGTAACTTTTCGGATCGAGTAACTGTAACTGGTCGTGTCGGGTAACTGTAACTGGCCGAATCGGGTCACTATAACTGGTCGGATCTGGTAACTGTAACTGACGGATCTGCTAACTATATATAACTGGTCGGATCAGATAACTGTAAATGGTCGGATCGAGTAACTGTAACTGGTCGGATCGAGTAACGGTAACTAGACCTGTCGGGTCACTATAACTGGCCGAATCGGGTCACTATAACTGGTCGGATCTGGTAACTATAACTAGCGGATCGGCTAACTATATGTAAGTGGTCGGATCAGGTAGCTGTAACTGGTCGGATCGAGTAACTATAATTGTAACTATACTTGTCGGGTCAGGTAACTGTAACTGGTCGGATCGAGTAACTGTAACTGGTCGGATCGAGTAACTGTAACTGGTCGGGTTGGGTAACTGTAACTGGCCGAATCGGGTCACTATAACTGGTCGGATCTGGTAACTGTAACTGATGGATCGGTTAACTATATATAACTGGTTGAATCGGGTAACTATAATTGGTCGAATCGGGTTACTTTAACTGACGGGTCGGGTAACTATAATTGGTAGTATCGGGTAACTGTAACTGGTCGGATCGGGTAACTGTAACTGACGAATTGAGTAACTATAGTTGGTTGGGTAAGTAACTGATCGGATCAGGCAACTATAACTGACGAGTCGAGTAATAATTGTAATTGGTTCGGCGAGTAACAACAAATAGTTAGACATGTAACTGTAACTATAGGGAACCAACCGTAAACCTCACCGGATAACCATAATTCCGGCAAAATAAAAATCAACATTTTTTGTATCTTGAAAATGGTTGTAGCATTTTATGGAACTAATTAAGAAATGGCATTGAGAATTTAGTACGTATTACACCAGGGCATGCTTCATTCAAAAGACGCGTATGATCTCTTTTTTGAAAGTTAATAAAAGAATTCTTATATTTGTCCAAATGTTTTAAATTAGTAACATTCATGACTTAACCCCTAAATATATGAAATGATTTCATCATCCATGTATTGTTAATCGTAGTATTACTAATTAATACAATAAAATTGCTTCTTATGTTACTCTACCAAGTGTATTCATCACCGTGTTAAGTTCATTACTACATTTTTTTAGAATTTATTACTACATTTGTTAATCACATTTTATTTTCTTTAGGGGTTCTTAATCCAGATTGTCCTCTTCACAGTTATACATGTCTTCAACTCAAAGTCCCATTATAACTTCACTTTTTTTTCACTTCTCAATCTCTTGATAATATTTGATATTTGAATGTTCATTTTATTAGTGCTTCCATGGGGGGAAAATATTACATATGGAGAGTAGTAACAATACATCTAACAACAATATAATTATGAATGGGGGTTGGTACCCTCTATTTATGTCAATACACTCTATGCTTAAGATGTTGTACATTATTATTATAAAGTGTAACCATATTTTTCAGTTTGGCTTCTTTACCCTTACATACCGTTAACTTTTAACCTCCGTTAACTCCATCATAAACTTAGAGCCGCACATCTCCTTCGGTTGTAAGAGGAACCAGATAAACAGGGGTTTGTGTTCATCGATGGAGCCCAAGGTTGTTTTCACTTGCAATGGATATAGCAGATTATTGTGGTTACATGTCTTGCAGTCAATTTGTGAAGCAAAGGAGCAACCCTGGGATTCTGAGAATAGATATCGGACGATTTTGGCTAATTCTTTTTTATTAGCCTTCTTCGCAACCTTCACTACCCTATCTGATTTTATAACTGGTGGTTCTGATTTCAATTAAATTTAAAACAACCATTCACGGACAATACAAATCTGAGAATGACCTTTTCATTTGCTTGATCGATTCCGCCTCCTATCCCAACCTCCACCTCTTTCGTACCAGGTAATTAGAATTTCTTTTTATGCTAAATTTATGCTTAATTGAAACAGATAGATTCGTCAATTGGTTTTTGTATTATGGTATGAGTATGTTTTCTCTTTCATTGGCGTATCTTTATTCTTTAGCTGTTAGAGTTTATTTTCTTCCCCAGCCCAGACCTTCAAAGTGCCGGTTGTATTTTTGTGTGAATGCATATTCAGACATGTATGTCTTTAGTTTAGTTTAATTTGTCCCTATGTTCTTTAATTTCTAACTTTTAAAGATATAGCCTTGGGAAGTGTAAAGCATGAACTACTAATACGTATTTGTGCTCTTCAATATTATAATGGGGCTGCATGTATGCCTTTGTTTGTTAAGTGCAATTGATAATGTAAGAAGCTCGTTGATGCTTTCAGTGAACCCAAAGTTGAGTGCATATCATTAAGGTGAGCTACTTGGTGCTCACATATCAACAGGCCAGGCGAGCATACATACACTCACCCCCCGTGGACTTCTCAATTCTCCACCTGTCATCTAAGTCCACCGAATCATTAACCTCACAAAATCATAGAGAAAATGAATAAAACGTAAATATAGGTCATTGAAGTAAATAAGTCTTAGAGATAATATAAGAACAAAAATGATATTTGTACCCACTCTTATACCCGCCTTTGTATCCACTTATGTTTGTGAATTGTTTTTTTTTTGTCCGTGAACCCCGGTTCACAGACAATATTTTCCTCAAACAAAATATTGTCTGTAAGCCGGGTTCACAGAAAAAAAAAGCACTTCACAAACATGATGGGTATAAGAGTGAGTACATCAAACATTGTTGATAGAAGGAAACAGTATAATGTGTATGACAAGTGTAACACTCAAGCACGGTATATGGATGTTTTTAATTGGACGATATATACTACGAGCATGTGAACCGATTGAGATAAAAAAAAATTGCTTATGGAACACCGTTGATCAGAAAAGTTTTTTGTACTTTAAAATTTACCCAACGGCTTCACTTATACCAACTCAATATCCACGTAATATAAGGTATCAAATTATATTAGAACATTGTCACAAATCATTATAAAACTATCAATTGCAACTATATCATACGTAGTATACTACTATACTCAAACAAAAAATACAATCAACTCACATACTTTTAAATAATATAGGCATATTTTTTACACAATTCTTGGTTGGCAGGGAATATAGTATCAGCAATTTATGATAAATATAGGTCATGTCATAAAATATTCACAATAACTTTAACAATCTCACATAGGATGATTATTTAGAAAATTAACATTACTTCAACATTGGGCAAAAACTATCACGCCTTGCGCGAGCAAACGCTAGTCTTTCCTATAAAAGTTAACATTTATTGTAATGGTTAAACTATCATTTAGAATCAAAACTTTATTGTTTAAATTTTCACACATAATCCATAGAATAAGAGTTGGTACACGAACTTTAATCAATGTCTCATGCTTCATTAGATGTATGATCGGTTTGAATCACCACCACAAGCACTATTAGTTTATGTTATTCAGTTATTATTTTACTTTTAATTTGTTAAAATGTAAAATTTTAAAAAGTTTTTTATCTTTCATGATATGTTTAATTAGATGATGATAAAAGTAGATGCACCAAATGTTATTCTCTGTGCGTATGCACGGGTACTGTGAAAATTATACAACAACCGTTCCAATGTATATTATGCAGCCGTTTATGCTATTTAAGAGGTTAGCAAGTTTTCTTTTTTTAAATGATATAGATAAAGATAAAAAGCTCAAGTAAATTAAAAGAAATGATTTAATGCGGAGAGAGTCACAAGACTTGGCTACCGTGAATATGCTTTGAAAGTTGAGAGGAATCTAGAAATTTGAGAATAATTTTAAAATAATGTAGTTTTAGAATTTGATATCAGATTTTTCTTCAAAATAAGCTCTTCAAATAATCCTAACTTCTCAACAATGATCTAAAAAAATATCATCCACATCATCAAAATAATCCTCAAATAAACCCATTAATGAGGATGCTCTAATTAAAACTGTTCACAATTCGTAATCAAAAGATCAACAAAATTGAGAAGGAAAGAATTAATTGTCATTAATTAAAAAGAGAGAAAGAAGTGACAATCACAGAATATTGCAAATCCAATGCTGAAAAAACAGAAGAAAATTTATCCGCGCGTTCGACAGACGAAACGCACAAAAACCGTTGCACACGGCATGTGTGGCAAGGGCGCACGACATGCGTGGTCTCCAATAGCTTCTCCATGATTTTTTATTCCGCACACATCGTGCACTCTTTGTGTGCATGGCGTACATACCTCCCGACCTAATTTGAATATGCTTCCTTCATCAAAGTTACGTTGTAGCTATTGAAGACCCCTATCCAGGGGCGTATCCAGTGTGAAGGCAGGGGGGGCAGCTGCCCCCACTCAACCCGCACCTAACCCCTATATATATATATCCAATTTAAAATTATACATATGTTTTTTGTGTTAAATATGGAAATATATAGCAATAAGCGCGATATATGACGTTACATACACCTGTAGCCGAGTGGAAAGTAGTGCGTGCGTTAGCGGGCTTTCATATGAAAGGGTCGTGGGTTCGAACCTTGCTTTAGTTCATTCGACTTTTAGTTGCTTTTTTCTCTTGAAGCTTTGGAATAGTTTTTTTTTAACTTTTTCTTGTTGTTGAAAAGATATAAACTACTCCGTACATCAATATACTTACTAACCTACCATTCTAGTTTCACATATGGAGATGATTTTGTACATAAAATAAATTAATTTTTTTGTATACATGTAAATTTTCAATTTAAATTAATTTTAAGTACATGTTTAATCCTTCCCTTAGTTGATTCATTTATATATTGGTATAATTTTGCACAAATTACAGATGACATGTTATAAAATTATTTCTAACAAAGTGAAATTTAATTGAACAATAATATCATACTCCGTAAAGTTTGTGTTTTTGTTGCTGTAAAAAACATGTTTTCATTGATAGAATATTTTGTTATTTATTATTAATTTTACAATTTCTTTCTTAATCTGATTAGTCTAATTTTTCTAGGATTTTTTTTAATCTAAGGTAAATTCGCCCCCGCTGGCGTATTTTTCTGGATACGCCACTGCCCCTATCCACCACAACTCAAAAATATGGATTGGATCATCCAATCAAAAGATATGGATGAAATTGTGGAAGGTCACATCCTGAAATATCAATAGTGATTATCTGATTTTCTCATCTATTTTTATCTTGCTCCTCTCACATTCTCGTCATGGTGTTTACATATGACTTGTAGCCCATTGAGATTTCTTTCGTAAGAACCTTGAATCATTTCATTTGGATTTTTGTACGAAAATATATGGTCAAATGATTGAGAGAATGTCATCGTGATTTTTGGATGGAGTGGAAGTGTTGGTTTGTCTTGGCAGGGGCCCGAAAGGGACGATAAGTGTCAGGGCCCGTTTGTTATGATGTAAAGTAAACATTTTGCGTATAAAATGTGGGGAAGTAAACATTTTACACCGTTTGTTTTAATTATTTAATGTAAACTGTAGGGCACTTTTTAAAAAACAGTTTACACCGTACCGTGTAAACTATTTTACGTGGGGGGAGGGTCGTAAACTGGATTACATCCGTTCAACGTAGAATTAGCGGCAAGAATTCTCTGATCTTTTCTCCTTCTATGACGGCAACGCAATACGGAGTATTGCTCTTCTCCTCCAAAGCAAGTCATTTTGAAGACTCCATTATGACTGCAAAGCAAAAACTCTCTTTTCTTCTTGTACGTAGTATATAAGAAAACAAAACCTGCTCTCCATCCAAATTAACAAAGAGGTTAACTTCTTCTAGAAAACAGGTTAGCTTCTACAATAGATATGCGTAGTATATACTAGTATATACGGAGTACAAGTATATATATTCGAAAATTAGATCTTTAGGTTTGAATTATATTCTGAGATTTGATGTTCAGTTGAATTTAAAAGCCATGTTTAGTGACTTTCTAAGAATTACGAAGTATTTCTAGTATTTGATTAAATAGAATAGTGATTTTTTAGTGATTAATCTTTTTCTAGTTGCTTCAAATAAAATTACAATTTTGTAGTGATTAATCACTTTGCAGATGATGATCTAGTTGCTCCACATTAATCATACTCTGGCACGTTGAATGAGCTATTTTCTGAACATTTTACCTGTAAACTTATTTGACAATAAACAATGTAAAGTGTTTGCATGTAATTTAAAAATAGATTACACACATGGACCAAACGGTGTATTTCTATTTTACATGCAAACTATTTTACAGCCCTAAACTTTATATGTAATCACTTTGCGTGTAAAGTTTTAATGTGCAAACTACCAAACGGGCCCTCAGTGTAAAACATAAACTTAACTTGTTTGGGAGAGTTAAAAAATGAAGTATTAATAACGGAAGTATTTTCAATTAAATTGACAATAATGCCCTCATTTAAATCCTAAGTAATATAACCTGATTCGTACATATCAGAACTTTTTTAACATCAATTCCTTCTTTCGAATTCTATATGACCCAATTCGTACATATATACATATATATTTTGAGATTAATTAAAATTTAATCAAAATTAAAAAACATCAGCGTCATTGTTGAAGCTAGTCCAAACAAAATGGTAAGAACGACGACTGGGGCGACTGGGGTCTGGTCTATTTACATCAATCAAGTATTTCATACTAATGAAACAAAATGGAAGGAAATCAAAAGTATTGATCTCGTGATCCAGCGATTTCAGAGTACCAAGGCTTCCTTATAATGTGAAATGAGATCTCGTAATGGTTGGTTGTGATGTTGATGGATGAGAGCAACACTACAAAACAATCCAATTTGGGATGTTAAAAAAGTCACTTATTGAGATGTTATGGAGGTTTCTCCTAACACTTTTAAACGCTTACTAATACTCAGTTTTTTTAGAAATCTCCCAAACAAGTGTTAAAAAGAACACCTCTCGATACTTCCATAACTAACACATCCTAATCCTCAATCCAAAGAGACCATTAAGGTTGCAAGTCGGACGATGATTCAAATAGCCGTTTTCGAGCTCTATCTATCCCTACTCGACCTTGAACTAGACCATTGACTTCTTTTGACTTCAATTTCACTCCTTTGACACCCCATAGCACTTCAATGCTTCTCAACATCTCTCAAAAGTGCTCCAGATCTTCCTAAACAATTCTCTCACGCCGGGGTCGGGCTAAATTCCCTTAATTTCACTCTAAAAATATCAAATGCAATACCAAAATCCGGTAAGTGACGACTACAACTAAATAAGTGTGGTGTGATACATTTAATCTAGTAAAGTTACTTAAACCAATCTCAATGCACATGAAATGCGTGTTAAAATATGGACTTATCATCGTACTCCTATTTATTGTAAGTTGTTAGTAATATTGGTCATTTAGATTCATGAAAATTTCCATTAACACTAGATTTTCACCCACGCGATGCGCGGTCTATATTATCGAATAGTTATATAATCTTATTTATTAACGTTATTAGTGCATGAGCAGATGATATTTTTTATACGCATGTAAATGATGTAATATATATGAACAATATATAATAATTATAGAGGAAACTATAGTTATCACTAACAATAGGTACGATTTATATATGAGTTTTTTACGAGAATATTACTAAAATAAAACTTATTTACATAAATATGACTATTCATTACTACAATGTAGTGCTGTTGTAACTAAAGTTCAAAACTTGAACATGAATTACTATGATTTCATTACTACTCTAGTAATGAATCATATTTTTGTAAACCATCTTTATTTTGGTCATATTTATGTAATTATTTCTTTATATATTAGGAGAAGAGGGCAAAACGAAACACACAATAAATTTTGAAACACTTGTTTGTAAACATTTGAAGCATACAAATGAGATCTAAAAAGACTAAACATTTCGAAAGACTTCTTTGTAAACAACATTTGTAGTATGATCAATGTTTTTCCCATCTTCACCACTTGAGGAGAGACATCGGTTAATACGATGCTCTCCGTCTCGGGTCTCTCATCTTCTACTTTCACTTCCAACCTTCAATTCTTCGTGCTCAATCATCCATCTTTAATCACGGATCCTGTCTAGCTAAGCCACGCTCTCCATATACATGCTATCCGCCATAAATAATCCACAACGGAGACTCGGAGGGTCATTGGGTAATTCGGTGCTCTCCGTAAACATTTGCATGTGAAACACTTCATTTTTCCATCTTTCTGCCTGATCTTAATCTGGTTCTTTGCTTGCTCGAGGATGAACCACAACCTCCAACGAAGGCCTAGCCGTTCCCTGCCCTGTATAAGCCAGGTATGGTCGGAAGAGTAAATATGGGGCGCATAAGTTACACATACACATACTCCTGGCTCCTGAAAATGAGATATGGAATACCAATGCCACACGTTCTGCCAAATACTCAATTTTGAAAGCATAAGTGTTTAGTTTTAAGAAAATTATACTTTTATGCACTTGGAGGTAATTAATTCATGCTTTATTGTTTTAAGTGTACATTGTTTTAATAAAATTCTAGTACTATGACAATATTCACTTAATTGCACCTTGGAATCTACTCTTCCACTTAATTGCACCTTGGAATTTTTCTACACGCCTTGGAAAGACTTAAATATATAAATATAGTAATAAATTTTAAATACAGTATGTATAAATAAAGGTGGAGGAACAAATATATCCTTATTCTATTTTTTGGAACAAATATACCTCCGAACTTTTAAAAAGGTGCAAAAATATCCCTCATTTTTTATAAAGGAGCAAATGAATCCTTATTGACTTTAAATTAATCAAATAAATTTCAAAAAAGACCAAAAATAAATTAATAAATAAAAAATAAAAAATAAAAATTTTAAAAATGTAATTGTGTCCATTTCTTCCTTTATTGTTTTATATCAAAATTTAATATTTTAAGTATAAAATATTATTTCAAAATATGTAATTTTATCGTGCAAAGAATGCAGAAAATTAATTTTTCTCCACATCGCAAAACATATGTTGCACCATTTTGAAAGAATCTTAAACATATAGTAAAATTTTGAAATAATATTCCATGCTTAAACAATATTAAATTGTTATATAAAAACTATAAAAGGAAAAATTAGACACTATTACATTTTTTATATTTTTTGTTTTTAAATTTGGAATGTATAATTTATATTTGGTGATTTTTGAAATTCATTTTATTAACTTAAAGTCAATAAGGATTAATTTGCCCCTTTATAAGAACATGATAGATATTTTTGCACCTTTTTAAAAGTTCAATGGTATATTTGTTACGAAAAATAGAAGAGAGCTATATTTGTTTCCACACCCATATTACAGGGGTATGTTTGTACATTTTCTCTATAAATAAATACTTAAGTCAATTATATAGACTGTATAAGTATAAAGCCAAGCTCAAATCTGCTTTCTTTTATAGTTTTACTAATAACTATAAGCTCCCTGCATCTTTAATTAATGAATAACTATTAATATTATTGTATATTAATTCAAACTGCATTAAGGCCCGCTTAGGATGTTTTTACTTGGACTGTAATTTGTTGGTCTGGTCTGGTCTTATCTGGTCTGGTCTGGTCTGAACTGGTCTGGTAAGGTCTGGTAAGGTCTGGTTTCTTTGTATTTTTATAACTATCCAAGTCTGGTCTGATCTGGTCTGGACTGGTCTGGTCTGGAACAAATTACGGTCCAAGTAAAAACATACTTATAAACCTTGGTTGTATGTAAGGTGAACTTAACCGAGTTCGGGATAAAACAGCCCATATATCAATCGTGCTCAACTAATATATTTTAAATATTAAATATGTGTTTTTTGCTTAAGAATTGATTTGATCTTATAAAATACTTGCAAGTACGAAAGCAAACATTTTTTCTTTTAAAAATCCTTTCGTTTTTAGCTTTACAGTAATACAGGACACTACGAAATCCATGCTTCTCTAATTAAGGATGTTTTTACTTGAACTGTAATTTGTCCCAGACCAGACCAGACCAGTCCAGACCAGACCAGACCAGTTCAGACCAGACCAGACCAGACCAGACTTGGATAGTTATAAAAATACAAAGAAATCAGACCTTACCAGACCAGACCAGACCAGACCAGACCAGACCAGTTCAGACCAGATCAGACCAGATCAGACCAGATCAGACCAGATTAGACCAGACCAGACCAGCAAATTACAGTCCAAGTAAAAACATCCTAATTAATACATAAAATTATCATGTCCATTACAAAACGGTGATTGAGGCCCGTTATCATTTACATTTCAAAATGGGGCCCCACTTAAAAAATTATTGGTCCTTGCTATTTTTGCTCTGAAATAAAGTAACCATTTAGATAAAACCTTAAGCCCGACCCTGTCTTGTGACCTGACCCATTTACACTTGGACTTTGGGCGAGAAAACCAGATGGTTTCCACCTCTTTTTATATAGAGATAGATTTTGGTACAGATAAAACCTTTTTTCTTTAAAAGAAAAATGAAATGATAAAATTTTATTCAATCATAAGTTTCTCCAAATGGTTGAATCCTCAACTCCAAGGACTCTCACACTTCTTGATAAGACATGTGAGAGGATGTTTCTTTCGATCATAAGTGAAGGTTCAAATGGTGACATAGACCATAAGACCCATGTGATAGACAATTCAGGAGGATAGTCTTACTATTAGTCAGTACTATATACTCGTAATTAATAGAGTATTCACTTTGCAGGCCATACCTTAATTAAGGTTTGAATTTATTTCATGTGAAATTCTTTGTTAAGAATACGATAGCAAATCATACATAACATGGATCCATCAAGACATTTTAAGATATCTTCCCAGATTTATTGGGGTCTATAAAGTAGTGAGGCTCGGAGTAGACATTATTAGCCAGGCCGGGAAGATGATAATTAGCGGCCGGGGTATGAATTAAAATGTCTTCTCGAACTGAACCTTAAACGGAACATCACTCAAAACTAAAAACCGGACACCTTTGTTCACAAAGATTCCAACATCTCTGCAAATGACCCTGCACGTGCTGCATACGCTCGGGCAAAAGACAAACTTGTAATCATTATCGAACTTGTCAATCTTAAACCAGCTGCTTAAAGTATTAATCCCAGGATTTCCTATGGCCCCACCGGTCTTCACGAAAGTCTGATTCGAGAGCTGATCGTAGGCGTCTAGTTTCCACACCATTTCCTTGGCGCAGGTTGTCGGGGTGTAGAATCTGACGTTGAGATCGGTGGAAAGCGGGACCACATCGCCGTCTTTGGCGTTTACCGGAGTGAGCATGACGGGTATGCCTTTGTCTTCGGTGGCCTCTTGGATGATGTCTTGTGGGCAATGGGTGTTGTTCTGTTTGATGTTGGCTGGGTATACCCCGCCGCCGCTGCCGCGGATCACCGGGAAGGCGAAGTAGTTTGAGCCCACAATTAGGGGTTTTCCCTTGACGTCAAGGACGGCGGTAGACGGTGAAGTGGCGGCGACGGAGGAGGAAATGAGGAGGGATAATGAGAGTGAAAGGAGTGAGATCAATAATGCCTTCATGATTGATACGATGATGATAGGGCTGGGTGGGAATTTCGCTATTTTATACTACTTCGTCCCCTATTATTATTCGATTGCGATTTATCATGTTTGACAGAAGATAAAACAAACGGATCTCTTTTCACTCTCAAAAATAATTTTAGAATTTTTTTTACATATTCAGAAAGTATATTAAAAGGTTTATGAAGTAAAAATTAAATTTGATTAAAATTTGAATCATAAAGTACGAGATTAAGAGTATTTACGTTGATCAAATGAATAAGAACTGAGACCATTGTAGAAAGGCGGTGGGAGTAGTCGTTGGAGCATCTCCAATGGGGATGTCTATTGTCTTACACACTCTTACGAATGAGTCGCATTTTTGTATCTCACAAATTTTATGTGTAGGACCTACATATCTCGATATTTATTTTCATTTTCATTTTTTTATATCACTTCTAACCCACTTTTCATCCACTTTTACTTCTCGATTCCTGTGTAATGTCTATTTGTGGACATTGTCTACAATTATTTACTTCTATCTCTCTCTTTCTTTTCATTTTTCCATATACACCACTTTCTCCATATTAAATTAAAATAATAATCATATCTCTATCTCTCTCCTATGCCACGTAAGATAGACTTTACTCCAATCCACTACTCCGAGATGCTCTTAGTCCTGGACCAATCGGAAATTATGGAGCTTCAATATGTCACCAATTATTTAATTTTGCACGACAAATTAAGCTTTGGCCGGCACACAAATTTTGCACGACATATTAAGCCAAGGCCATGCTAACAAGTAGTGAAGTACTTAACTCTCCTTCAATATTGTTTCATGTTTTGATTTTGGACACAAATTGAGAAATTGATAAATGTGTCGCCTAAAGTTGTGAAAAGAATAGAGAAAGTAAAAACAAATGTTGTGAACACAATTTTTTTGCCAAAAAAAGAAAGAAAAGTTGATATTGGAACAAACAAACAAATTAAGAAAGAATGAAGAAGATATTGATACAATGAGGTAGCATCTGTTTATTTAAGGAGTGTTTGCGATTACTTCAATTTATCAAAATGTTCCTTATCAAAAATATTTTCTCATAAAAGTATAAAATTTATAAATTACATACATGATGGAGGTAATATATGACTCTTCTATGAAGTCATAGCATGATTAATGTGGTCATTCAATTAAAAAATGTGTGGTGAGGGCTAGGCCTGTCAACGGGTCGGATACGGGTCGGAACTATAAATTTCATATCCATATTCGTTGAAATTTTTTTGGTCTAGATCCGGACCCATTTACCCTTCGGGTCCTAAGCATATGTTCCATATTTGGATCCGGCGGGTCTCGGATCCGGGCCGGGTATACCCGCAAAATAAAATTAAGTGACATGCAAACAAATAGGAGTATAATACGGAGTATATAACAAAAAAAATACATGGTGGAAGAGATCATATATAAATAAGTAAAATGTTGTTCTATCCATTACTCTGTATGAACTATACAATAATATACAAAGTATGTTATATGTATATTAGTGAACTCATAGAGAACCTATACCAGTAACTCATTAGCGAAAATTCCATTATACTGGGCCAACCACTAACTAAATCTACAAATATTAAAACATTTTTTATATTTGATTATTTTCTTTATTTTATGTTTAAATATTTTTTAGTATATTCTGTGTATATGTAAACAAATTATAACTATAATTATATCATCACGGGTTGGGTCCAAAACGGGTCGGAACTTAAAAATCTATATACGACCCATTTTCTCTATCATGTAACGGGTTCGGATCCGGATCCAGAAAACGGTTCTAAATTTAGACTCATACACTCAAATAAAGTGCCGGATTCGAATCGGGTCCGGATCCAGACCCGACCCATTGACAGGCCTAGTGAGGGCGATATTCCCAGCCTACGCAGGCATACGACTCCATAGTAGGAATCTATGTATTACTTTAAATTTGTTGCTCATTCTTCTGAATTAATGGAGTTAGGGAAACAAATCAATTAAAACAATAACCACAGGGAGACCCTCGTGGCAAATGTACTAATGCATGTATGATATTATTACTCCCCATTATTGTCTCTGTTCAACTTTTGATTTCTTGGGCGTCAAATATGTTTACTTTGACTAACAATACATCTGCTTCGGCCTTCGCTAACGATTGGATATGATGAAAAAGTGTGCTTAATATAAGATGCTCCCAAAATGTATCAATATTTAGACATAGATAGATTATGATACATTTTTGTGGCACGTCATAGTTTAACCCGGCTTCCCGGCCTATATGTCCATACAAAAAACTTGTATCAGTCGTGCACGTATCTGTGTTAGACTGTTAGTACACCAATCATGATGGGAATTTCTAAATGGCAAAAAAAAATCTTGTTTTAAGTTACACAAAATTGATACACATTTCAACACAAGCTTGTACGTCATTGTTTGTATACACGGATAATGCTGCACGAATAGTAGATATGTCCGGTATCCCAACTGAATGCTTAACCCAAACCACCGGGCAAGCAGTCTCCTCCGTTGTACCGTTATCAAAACTGGAGGGAAACATGAAAATTTGTTAGAAGCGCATTTAAGAGCAACTCCAATGCAAGGGTGTGGTCTCTTACACACCCTTACACATGGGTCCCGTTTTTTATTTCACAAATTTTATATGTAGGACCCACATATTTCGCAATTTATTTCCATTTTCATTTTTTTATATCACTTTTAACTCACTTTTCATCAAATTTCCCTCCTCGAATCCGTGTAAGGTCCATATATGGACCTTGTCATAGACCTTGATCCATTTTTACCTCTATCTCTCTCCTCTTTTTCATTTTTCCCTACACACCACTTCATCCCAATATTTATTTTATATCTCTCTCCTATGCCACATCAGGTGCAATGCACCCTCCCATTGGAGATGCTCCAATGTGCGTGGAGCTTGGGTTGAGCAAGTGGACGGCAGGACGGGCAGCAACAAGTGGGTGATGAGATGATTCAACCAGTGAGAAGACAACACGTCATCAAGCCCATACTGTTCGATTACAATAAATTCCTCTTCATTTACTTCGGTAGAGCAATTGTATGTAATTCATATCAGGTTCTAGAGCATTAAGCGTATAGTAAAAGTTCTTCTAATAATAATAAACCAAATATGTCTTGATCCTTGGTTATCATTATAGTTCAGTACATCCAAATCGACCACCAATATTTAACTTTTGGGCCGAGCGAATAAACCTTAACAGTCATCATACATTAAAGTATTGTACTTACATTTTCCTTGTGCAGAGCCCGAGCCCAAAGTGTTGAATTTGTTGTATCAAATATGTTTAAGTAATATCATAAATATAAAACTATATCAATATAAAATTTAGGGAAAATTGCACTATTAGTCCCTAAAATAGTCACGAAAATGAAATGTCGGACCCGTATTTCTGATATTATAAATGTAACCCCTCAATTATCCAAATTGTTGTAAATGTGGCTCTTTAAGGTGTGAAATGTACTCTCGCCCACATTATATATTTCACCCCTAAAAGGACCACATTTACAACATTTATGACGACATTTGTGGTCCCTAAAATTTAAAAATAAATCTTTTTTCAAACGTATGTGACATTTGTTATATATATATATATATATTTCGTTGGGAAACACATAGATGGAAGTTTGTCCAATGTTGTTTTCATTATTTGTTACATTTGCCCATTAGCTACTAAACAAAATATATATTCAACCCTATGAAATCAATAGATAATACTCCTTAAGAATAAAACTACTCCGTATTTTACACGCATCATCGTTCAAATTGTTTTTTCACCCAAAGTTTTTCTCAAAATAAAGAAACTTCTTATCTGTCAATTCATTTAAGGAAGAAATTATGTCTTCTTAATTTTGCATCGGGAAAATCGCATATATGGTCCCTCAGTTATCCACGAAATTAAAATCTCAGATCTGTATTTATGATATTGTAAATGTCACCTCTCAATTGTCCAAAATGTTGTAAATGTGATCTTTTGAGTGGTGAAATAAACAATGTGGGCGAGAGTACATTTCATTATTTAAAGGACCACATTTACAACAATTTGAACAATTGAGGGATGACATTTACAATATCAGAAATACATGTGTGAGATTTTAAATTCGTAGATAGCTGAGAGACCACATATGAGATTGGGGTACACACTTTTTGTACACAAAAAGTGTACACTCGTCTGTCTCCCACAGACAAATTGTCTGTCGCGAGATGAGTTGTCTGTCCCACAGACAACTCATCTCGCGACAGACAATTTGTCTGTGGGAGACAGACGAGTGTACACTTTTTGTGTACAAAAAGTGTGTACCCCTAGCAGGCCTCTTTTTCATTTTGCATAAGTTGAGCTCGAAAAGTCCCGACGCAAGAGGGATATTTATTGGTGTCAAATACTCCGTACTGAGTTACAACGGAGTATTGGTGAGAGTCCATCGTACATCCAATGGCCAATGGCCACACTGGGCGTTCCTAGTAGATAACTACGGAGTATTGGTGAGAGTCCATTGTACATCCAATGAGAAGTCAACACGCACAATGGCATTATTAAAGTTGCACAAGCATTGAACCACATGTGATATCCCTCTTTCAAATAAAACGACACAAGATATTGTTCATGATCATGACAATCCTCAGTCCTCACTGTGTATAGCACATGTGTGCGTACCATATACTATTGTACAACATTTTCCTAATTAAGAACCTCATTTTGTGTACTCTCCAGATTGAAAAATGTTTGTTATACACCATTTTCGCACACAATTCATTAGTGATGACAACTGGGCGGATCAGGGACAGGTACACATAAAACCGAAACCGTCCCGTTAGATAAATGTTTGCCCCAAAACCGCCCCATTACTTGTTCGGATAATTTTTATTTGAACCGTATCTGCCTCAACGGGGAATCGGTTTATTCACGGGTAATCGTTTCCCCAAATGATGCCAAATAACCATTTTTTCAGAAAAATAAATAACCAATTTCTAATCCTACTTGTTATTTATATA